AATATCTTATCTTATCTTAACTTAAAAGTGATTTGGTATCCAGTTCAGGTTTAATTAGGTGAGATGTTTAGATGTCTTTGAGAAAACCTCCCTGCCATGTCTTCGCTGGTGGAGAATAAAGATTCAGAAGCTGTATGAGCAACAAATGTGAAGTCTCTTTGGGATCAATGGAGATGATTTACTGTCGTCCCTTCGCCGCTACATATCAGACTGCTGCTGACAGGCTTTTAAAGGGAGAACATTTTGTCTTTTGAAGTTGTAAACAACACTGAAATGTGTGTCTACATTTGAATATTTATGGAAATCTAAACCACTGCGCTACAACTGTCTAACACTTATGTAGAGCCCAAACATATTACATATTTGTTGGTATATCATAACATCATTATAACCTTTCAACACAAGACCTATGTTATATATTTTGTTGAGATGCATTTCACCGGTCGCTTGTCAATGGCGCCAGATCCTCTTTGTGCATGCATTGGGGTCATAAATTTACTTTTTATCCAGTTTAAAGACACATTTTGGTTCGTTTTTAACTCTGTGAATGAAGGATTTTAGTCATCAGACTTCTGGATCTTAAATTATCTGCGAAACAAGCTCAGACATCTGATTAGGATTCCTCCTTAGCGCCCTCCTTTGGACATTTTCCGGTCACGTCCAACTGGTAGGAGACCCGGGGGTAGACCCAGCACTCGCTGGAGGGATTATATATCTCATCTGGCCTGGAAACACATCAGGATTCCACAGGAGGAGCCACCGCGACCCGACCCCAGATGATAATGGATGGACCTTAAGTATCACAAGCTCAATTGCAGCCCAGGGGAACATTTTATCAAATTTTCAACATGCAAGCTATCCTTTTACCATTCTTCCAACCCCTGCATGAGCCTGTGAGAGCCCTCGAGAACTCCCAATTCATCTGCAATTTGCGTGACACAGTAATGAGCGAAATATGTTGCTGCCAACGTTTCCCTACAGGGACTGCAGATGAAAATTAACTTGTATCTCTAAATCTGGCCCAGGGTGAGGGTGTAGTGTGCCTGACTTTCAGGTGGTAACACTGTTCTAACTGCACAGCAGAAGCAATTGCAAAAAGAAATTTAATAAAACAGTATTTCTGTTACAGAATAGAAACTCAAAACAGCAGATTGATAATTACGACATGACCCTGTTGTTGCCTGATGTAATCAGTAATTAAAATGGGAGCAAAATCATAAAAAAGGAAGAATTATGATCAAATATACTTATAAAACAGGGGAAATTTGAAATAAAGGCCTGTCTATAATGTAAGCCAGTTTCAAATAAAGGCTAATGTTTGACAATCTAATGGAAAACAAAGTCTATATAAACTGAAATTCAGCCATACATTTGGGATTATATATGTGTTCCACAGGAATTGAGCAATATTTGTTCAATAACTGAAACAAATCTAATCACACACACAAATATTCTTATCCAAATGATGTGACCACATTGTAATGTGTATTAAAAAGGACTCACGTGCTGACTGTGCAGAAATACGCTGTAGACTGAGCGTGTATGTGAGTTTTAAATGAGCTTTTGTCAGGAGCTTCATTAAATTTTGATTGTTCTGAACATTTCATTCCCTCAAACCCACTCTGTCCCTAAGTACTAACTTCATTATCATGCACTCTCCCCTGAATTAAATGAGTGTTCAGTAACCACGAGAAGCAAGAGGGAGAAATTCAGCACCGGTGTACGGGTTCCAGTGAATTTGTAGAATGAAAGCAGAGTTTTCGTGACATTTTATTTGCCTTTTTGTTGGTTGGTTCCATTCAGCTTTTGTTATTAAAGGCCTGGTCAAAACAAGAAGTGCGATAGTCATAATAGCTCCACAAGCTTCTTTCTATCTTCTCTATACTGTGTGGTTTACTCCTCCTATTCTGGCTCAATCGCATAACTCTAGTCTTAGATTTGCAGGTCAGAGTTCACCTAAGTTGAATTTTTTGAAATGTTTGTTGTTGATTTTACTCCAAGATTTTGCTTTTTAAAATGCTGGTGTGAGCAGGCCTCAACACCTCGTATTAGTTAAACCGAGAAGCATAGATGCTGACAACTGTGCAGTGTTGGATGTCACATGCAATGAACTTCTTTACAGAGCCATTTTAACTCATTACAAACCTTGTTTATCGCCTCACAACCTGTGCTTGCTACGATGGCCTCTACAAAATATGCAGCTTTAGAATTCAATTCAGCAACAGCAACCTCACCATACAGTATACTGCATGTGCTTCAATAAAAGTCTTTAAAAAGTCTAAAATAATCTGAAAATGCTGAGTCAAAATGTGCCTGACACAAACCAGAGTCCTTTCGTGTCCTGCCGCAAAATGAAAAGGATGCTCCTCCTGCTTTTTCTCCTCTTGACTTCTTCCAGTTTTCAGTCTGCATGACTGACATCAGCACAGACCAAAACATATAATCTGTGTGACCCAGTTTCCATGGCGATGCACGCTGGCTGTCGCTGCAGCGGCACACAGGCAGAAGGAGGTTACTCCATCCAGAGCCTCAGCCTGCTGTGTGAGGGGGATAACAGTGGCAGGGGAGTCAGCTCACTAAATCCTGAGGCCCTGCATCGGATATCATCTGCCACTGAAACATACATACAGTACCGGCTTATACGAGAAGACTAAAGAGTGGAGTGGAACAACGACTGATGATATGCTCTTATTTGGTAAATTATTTAGTCACAGGTCATTAAAACTCTCTCCTGAAGGGACCTTTGGCAATAAGAGCTCACTGATGGGAACGTTTTAAAGGTGCTCCCCACTTTGCTGTATGCCCAGTTGCATAAAATTGTCTTATATTTCTGCAGTTTGGTAAAACAGTTAACTGACAACACTGATTGACCTTTTGTCAGTTTTGTTTAGATCAATGGTCCAGTCCATAACCCATTAAACCTATACAATATATATTACGTAACAGGAGGTCTCTGACATCAAAACAATAACAATAAAAGACAAGGTTTGATGACGAAGCAGCGTGGGATCATGGGAGTTGTTGTCTTCACCATCATCGTCGTCATTGCAGTCACCTTCTCCGAATAATCCACAGAGGTCTCCTCTATCCAACAACAAACAGACCGGGTGATTAAAACCGCTAAAAACTCAGAATAAAGCAGTTCCGCTTTAAGAATACGTGTTTCTCTGACGCTGTTCGGCTGACAAAGACAGGAAGGTCGAGCCGAACATTAGCTTAGCTTGTTTCTCTGATAAGACCCAGACATCTGATGACTTAGGAAGAGTAAACAGTACATATGTGTTCACACCTTTCCAACATCTGGCTAGAATGTATCTGAAACCAGCTTTTGAGGGTTTGAGCAATCTGATTTCAACCCATCTTGAATGTTGCCTTGATATATTTAGACTTATCACATAGCTACCTGATTTGCCTAAGATGCATGAAGTGACTAAGTACAAGTAGGGTATGATGTAGGGTTGGGTGATTGACGTTCAGTAGCTCAGTGTGTCTGCAGCGCTGAAGAGCCAATTTTTTTTAAAGTGAATGCAACCATTCAAATATAAAACTTCCATGTTTGTTGGTCCATGTTGGCCAGCGATCTGCTTGACTCTGTCCTGAACCATGCAAGTAATGTTGTTTTGGTTGGGTGATTTTGACAGGGTCAATCGAGGTCACTGCACACAAAAAAATCCAAGAGCAGACATTTTGTGAGCGCACAGAAACAGTCTGAGCACAAGCAGGGGCTGTTTGAGTTTTGAGGGAAAGCACCAGAAATCTGAACGTGAAATCAATAGGTCATGTTCTCAAACTAAAACAGCCCACTCTTCAATAGAGATGTAAAAAAAACAAAATAGACAAAAAATACATATACACAGACATGAAACAACTAGAAAATAATAATAATGATAATAAACTTCGGGATAGATTATGAAGGGGATGAAAGGCCGGAAATAGCAAACAGTTTGAGACTGCTGAACTAAAACCTACAGACTGGTCCTTTAATGCTTTGGCGAATTATAAACTATAAAATGAAAACATAATATTTGAAATCTACAATTACAAAAGGACCGATTGTCTCTTTGTCCCACAGACTTGGAGACCCATCAGCAGTGCTGGTACAGATAAACATA